GCCTGAAAACACATAAAGAAGCTGAATATGTACAAGTTGAACAGCAGATTTACGTATTACAAGAAGAATTTCCATTCCTAGAGATTTTTTTTTTTTTAGATTTTTTAAAATATAAAATCCCTAATGATAACAACTCATGTTTCTTATGTGGTTTTTAATTTTTTCCTGTTGTGGTTCAGTAACCGCTTGATCCACTTGATGCTAAAAATTAGCAGCTTTTGGCATGACAGATGAGTTTCATCTTTGTTTCAATTGCATTAAATTATGAGCTCTACATTTCTTATCATTAGTATTTTTCGGGTTTCCACTTATTTTTATAAAATAGCATGAGTAAGATACAATAAAACATTAAAGTATTTGAGTACCTACCTTGCTATGGAGACAAAAATGGCAGTTATTTGTTTATTTGTGCACTGAAGCATGGATTCTGAAATTAGAGTAGGAAATAGGAAAGGTAAGATTTAGGAATATCAGTGTATAATATTTGAAAATATGACTTGTATAAAAGTCAGACATGTGAAAGTTGACTTACGGTAACAGGGGAACAAGGTCTCAAAAAGGAAAGAGGAATTAGAGACTCACATAAGGAGGTGTAGAATTGAGCCAATGCCCTTGAGCCAGCAAGCTCAACCCCTAGCAATGAATGAACAATCCAGATTTCCCTTTCGTTCACTTTATGATACATACATTGATTCCCTTTGCCTGGTTCTTCATTTAAATCTTATATCAATCTCCATCAAATACATTCTTGAAGTCTTTAAAGTGAAGCTTAGGCTTCTTAAATGGAATATTTATGGTTTATGTCTTTATAAATTATCTTTTATTTCATATGAAATTAAGAAATCCTGTTTTGAAACCTTATGTATGAAAAGTAGAAAATTCATTTAGTGTTTGATCGTTTTAAAAGTTTTTCCAAGGTTTTCGTATGAAGTCCTTCACTTGATGATTACAATGGTCAGTACCTATTCAACTATTGATCTTATTTTCCTTAGATTTTCATGACTCTTTTGTTCTTTCGATCAGAAAATCTTAATTCTAAAATATATAAATCCTAGGACAATTTCCTGATTAAAAAATCAGATTTGTCTGATAATGGTAGTAAATTTCATACATCATGGCCAGAAATTTAGTTAAAAAGCTAAACACCTTTAAACACCTTTTAAACTTGCTTTCATTTTCAAATGGGTAATTTTCTCTCTCCCTCTCCCTCTCCCCCTCCCTCTCTCCCCCCCCTCCTTCCAGAGACTTGAAACCAGTCAAGTCCAAATTCTTAATGAATTAATGCCCTTAGTCAAGTGTTTTTGTTAATAAATAGTAATAATAGAATTTTATCATTTTTGCTTATGATCCATGTTTTCATTTGCCCTGTTGATGCCATCTTTAAAGTGGGATGTATCACTTGTGTTCTCTTTTTAA